TGACAATTGTATCTGTGGCACGTAGGAATTGTATGGTTGGTGATTTTTTGAACGTACTTGCTATTATTGTGAATTTGGTTGGTGCATCATATAAGCGTGTAGATGCTCTTCGAACAAGTTATCAAGCTAATATTCTGGAGAAGCTTAATACTGGGGAACTTACTGGTGGAAGTGGTCAGTTTCAAGAAATGAGTTTGGCACGCCTAGGTGATACTAGGTGGGGTTCACATTTATTGACAATTACTCGTTTCATTAATATGTTTAGTGCTATTATAGATGTTCTTGAGAATATATCAAAAGATGGCATACATTCAGATAAAAAGTCTTCGGCCTTAAGAGAGATGAACAATATGCAAGATTTTGAGTTTGCGTTCAATCTTCACTTTATATTTGAAATTCTTGCAATTACAGACGACTTTTCACAAGCCTTACAGAAAAAGGATCAGGATATTCAAAATGCTATGAAGTTATCGAATTTGTGTAAGTGTGCATTGCAGAACTTGAGAGAGAATGGCTGGGATACTTTGTTTAGTAGGGTGATTGAGTTTTGTGTTGATAGACATATTTTAGTGCCTAATATAGAGGATATTGTACTAGTGAAAGGTCGACCTAGGCGTGTAGCTCAGCAGGTGACTTATTTTCATCGCTTTTATGTTGATTTATATTGTCATGTAATAGACTCAATCTTGTAAGAGTTGAATGATCGATTTTCAGGAACAACTACTAAGCTCTTTACTTGCATTTCATGTTTAAGTGCAAGAGATTCATTTGCAACTTTTGACAAGGATAAATTGCTACGTCTTGCTCGGTTCTATCCTTTGGACTTCAATAGTGAAGAACATTTATTACTTAGACCTCAACTTGATAAGTTTCTTTTGCTTGTGAAAATGGATGAAACTTTCTTTAATCTCAATAGTATATCATGTGTAGCTCAGAAGTTGATTGAAACTAGAAGTTCCTGTCATTTTTCATTGGTTTATAGGCTGCTCACCTTGGCTTTGATATTACCTGTGGCAACTGTAAGTGTTGAAAGGATATTTTCTCTATGAATCTATCTAATTAAGAGTGATTTGCGCAACAAAATGGGAGATGACTGGTTGAATGACAATTTGGTGGTTTAAGTGGAGAAAGCTATTTTTAAAAAACTTGAGAATGAGGCAATATTGCAACGTTTTCAAATCATGAGACCCCGTAAAATACAGTTGTCTAAGTTTACAGTTTTAGAGTAACTGAGTTAGGTGGTATCGTATATTTTTTTTACTATTTTGGGTTGTATCGAAGTATATTTTCATATGTATACGATTTTGACGTTTTAGTTCATTTACGTATATATTGAATAACTTTTAATATTATGTAATCAAATTTTAATAAATGATCGGACTACTACGATCGTCGACGGTCAACAGTCAATCCGCCCTAGCTGGACTTGGATCTTGGATTCGCCGCTGAGCGCATTAGGACAACTACCTCCCAACATAAATGTTGCCTTTCAGCTGCCGCGAGAATTCGAACCTCCGATTCTCCGTATAGAACCCTCCAACTTTACCACTGCACCATGCCGGTGGGGGCAGTTGCATGGCATTTGTTGGTTTGGGAGGAGGTGTTTATGGGCAGGAGCAAAACCTAAGTTTTCCCGTTGCTCTTTACTAGCTCGCTTTCCTTTGTCATTGTCATCTGTCAAACACACAAACTCATCAGAAATGACGTCCTAAAACAAGGAACCAATTTATTAAGCGAGTGCATTATCTATATAGCAAGTTTCAATTAAGTATTAATTCGTTTATAAAGCTATTA